AAAAAAAAAAAAAAAAAAAAAAAAACTCAAACGAAAAACAACGAATTTTTACTTCCGAGAGTGGCGCTAAAGAAAAGAATATTTTAATAAATAGACGTGCCACGTCAGCCTCCCCTTGCTGAAAATTAAGGCGAGACTTGAGAGTGACAAATATCTGGGCCCAGCCCACCAAATGAAAAATAATAATAAACAAAATTTAAAAAAAAACTCTCGACCTCGGAAGCCGACATTCACTTCAGTTCAACATCAAACCAGCCTCGAGATGTAATGAATAATGGTTAAAGGTCGTCCCAATATAACTCATAATTTTTCATTATTGAATATTTCAAAAATTTTTTTTGAAGTATATATAAATTTTAAAAATCAATTTTTATTACGATAAAGTCAACCTAAACGTAGTTCAAGTATTTCCGCATTGTATTTTCTCGTAATAATATAAAAAGTACGCCATCTCTTTGTATTATATATAATACAAATTAGGTAGATAAATTATTAATAGGGTTGGATTCTACCCTAGCTAGAGTGCATATGAATACAAATAGGATAGATATATATCAACATAATTTGATATTGTAATCAATAAAACCCTAGAAATTTAATGTAGCCTCCCCTTTTTTTTGGCGTTATAAAAGTTTGAAAAAAAAGAAAAAAAATGGATTTGATTCCATGTGGCTTTGATCTCAATAATAGACATCAACCAAATCATTTGAATACTTGTCCTCTTTCATTAATATTTTTTTATACACGCTACCTTCTTAACTAACTCGATTAATCAATTATGATACAAACAAAGCAATAAAATTATTTTCTTTTCAATTAATTAACAAATCAACCCGTCAAAATATTTTATCAATTGAACTATGCTCGAATTCACTCCTTTCTCTTTACTATTCGAGGTCACTACTAGTCGATATTATCTGCAAAAAATGAGATCTAACAATATAAGATGAGTATGAACGGAGTAACGATCTAATCTGAGCCCCAATTTGATTCTCATTCCTTCAAAAGACATTGAACAAGGGCATTTGATATTCTGAAAAGAAAATACAAAAGGCTGAAAATGTTAATGCAAAAAAGCAAAAAACAAGTCATGTTATTATCAACTTGGGAATAAAATAAAATAAAATAAAATAAAATAAATAAAAAATAGGGAAGATGATGGAAGTCCAAGATTGATGAAAACATGCACATGCAAGAATGTCCTTTTGGCACAATCATGTTTATGTGTGTGTTTTGATCCCAAATCCAATCATACCCCATTAATTTAACTTCAAATTAATTAATATTAATTAATTAATTAATATAAATATTTAAATATTATGAACTTTCTTTTTGTCAATTAATTATGTGAAAACAAATGAATAACCACTAAACAACAACAAACCCATAACTTTTTTGATTGTAAATCAATTCATAAAGTTAATTATTCATGTGGGTCTGCCTTAATTTCTAAGATATTTGTTTTCTCCTTTAGAACACTTTATTTATTTATTTATTTATATAAATTAATTAAAAAAAAAAAACAAATAAAGATAAGATCCATGATTTGGTGTAGGGATGAAGTTAATTGGGCTTCACATAAAATTAAATTGGTCCTACCATCCTTCTTCTTCTTCTTCTTCTTCTTCTTCTTCACCTTTTTTATTTTTAAAATTTATTTTATTTGGTTCCCACAACCACCAAACCCAGCAGCCACCATTATTAACTTTTGAAGTTTCCCTTAAGATTCTTTTTATAAAGTTAATTACACCTTGAGAATTATATCTTGGAGCTGTCAAGCATCATGGTACCTTCATGCACCTTTGTCTCCTCTTATATATTATATTTTATACCAAAGTTTTGATCTTATAATATAACTTATTCATACAATCCTTATAAATATGAATATAAATATTATTCATATTAATTATATCGAATTAGAGCGTTTTTAACATTTTTGTAAATAAATATAATTATGAACTAAAATATTATTAATGTAATAACTAAAATACGGTAGTTATGAGCATTAAATAATGAGCTATCTTGAAGAAGAAATCAAGATTTGGTATTTACTTTAATTAGATGCGGCATGCCTATTTTAAATTTGGTGAACTCATATCATCATGACTAAAATCAATAATTCAATGAAAATCAGACATTTTTCTCAGGGCTACGATCGCCTGCATTGTTCGCACAGTTCTTTGGTGCACTTGACTAGATCGAAACCCCAAATTCTCTCCTCTAAAATCATACGGCTCTGATTCAATGAAATTTCAAAATTGTTTAGCTATTTTGGATCGTCCGATTATTTTTCACAGCCATCTGACGGTCTATGCCAATTATGAAGCGAGTATTAAAAATAACATATGTACTACTGCCCGGGTTTGCTTTTTATCCCTTGCCCGTACGTATTTATTAGTTACATTCTCGTCTCAACCCTAGCTGCCCGTCGTAGGAGTTACTAACCGTGAATGGCATTAAATTTTAGCCCATTTTCCCCAAAAATAGTATTAAAGCGTGTCGTAATGATTACTGATGGGTGGCAGGGTTATTATTTTGTAACAAATCTGTAATTTTAAATGATGAAAAAGTTTCAATTATTTCTAATAAATAACCACACTTTATGCCAATAACGTTAAATTACAAAATAAATTAAATAAATAAAATCCTAAACTTTTATCCCATTTTTCAAAAATATTTTTAAAATAATTTTTTATTACATATTCAAATATTCCAACAATTTTTATTATAAAAATATTTCTGAAATAAATGGTAAAATTCACAATTATTAAAAGTGGTTTAACCAATAATTGATAATAAGATTTTTAAAGATTTTTTTTAGTACTAGGTTTTTAGGTTAAATAGGTTAAATAATACAAAATATTTTAAAAGATTTCAACTATGTCTTCTTCAAATTTAAAATATTAATATATATATATATATATATATATATATTTAAAAATTTAAGGATAAGAATGAAAAATATTAAACTCGAGTATAAAATTAATGTATTAAACTGTTGAATGATGAAAGTCCCACCTCGGGTTTATAACTAAAGAATACTCTATTCATTGGCATGAGGCTTGTTGAAAAGCCCTTATAGTCAAAGTGGACAATATCATACCATTATAGAGAGTCGTGTTCGTTTAACAATAACGAAATGAATACACAGTGCATAGTGTAAGCAATGAATGTAT